GATCATTGTGAAACTAGTTTCGAAACTTATCAAAACTAAACAATTTCAAAACTCCTTAGTTTTGGTGACCATCACTAATGGCCGAGTTCAATTTAACATTTTAGTTACACTTGTCAATTAATTGCATTAATATACGATGCTCGTCAACTAATTTATTTTACGAATTTACCATGCTTTATTCAATGAATCATAATAAAAGCGACAGAGTTTTTATTTTAATTTTTACTTTTTTTTGATCGATTAAAGTCAGACGTATGTTTACAACAATTACTTTAAAATAATACAACATGTGATAACGGCAACTGTTAGCTCTTTGTATAGGTAATCGATCAGTAATAACCGTTAACGACACTGGTATTAACACCTTACGTTTACACCTAAACAATTAAACCCGTTTACAAAAAGTTAAACAAAAATGTTTATGCATAACAAAACCAAAAACCAAACCTTTACTTCATACCAAAGCAAATACTCAAATCCTACTGCTATTGCAATTTCCGACACAAAAGTGTTTTATTAAACAAAAAGGAATATTGTATATATGTATAGATCTCTTTTCTACGTTTATTTATGTATTATGAATAAATTTGTAAATGGATGGTGAATAGATGAACAATAAAAAAGTTTAGTTGGTTTATTAAGATAACCAACAATTGTATAATCAACAATCACATGGAATATGGAAGATAAAAAAACCGTCCAAGCCAAGAAGGTTAGTGTGTAGTCACGTACAACGATAATTTAAACAAACCATTACTGTCAGAAATCGATGTTTTTCTTTTGAATATTCGTTAAATTTTTTTTGGGAAGCTTGAATATATATATATATATATATTTATATATACAACCCGATTAAATTCGTGGAGCATCGAAATCCATTTTTGTATATAAAAAATCATTGGGATTTTTGATTACACCGATTTTATTTAAAAATCTTTCTTATTATTATCTTCAAAACAATCGGTAATAGGGTTCAATTGATCATCAAATAATTGAAGCTAAAATAGAAGATATTTATAATCTTGAATTATTTATCTTCTCTCATAAAAAAAAATAAAAATAGCAATATAACATTACCAATTTATATTTAAATTCTGACTTAACTGACACCATTTTATGCTGAAGTTCTTGAAGAGCTTGACAATATTGATTGCTAATTTTCAATTGATTATCTACCATTTAATATAGCTATCTGTTATCATTATCTTCATTATATATTAAGAAAAAAATAATCATTATATACTACCAAAGAGAAAATATAAATAATACCTAATTTTGAGGATAGTTCAGCATTTTCTTTTTCAATTGTATCTATTTTAGTAATTAATTCATCATTTTTTCTTTGTAATTCTTCTATTTGATTTGCATTTTCTTTTTGTTTGTCTAAAAATTCTTGGTGTGTTTCATTTGTAATGTAAAAACCATGTTGTCCATGTGCAGCCTATAATATATAAATTTCTTTATATATATATACACATATATGATTTATTTCAGACCAAAAAGAAATCATTCTCCTTACTGATAAATCTGCTTTAAGACGTTCAATTTGGTATATATATTCTTGAATCAATGCCTTTTTAGTCACACGCTGATTAGCAACCGGCTTATTACGAATATTTTTAGCACGAGTTGCATAGTCCAATGTTGATATGGTTTCCTCAAGACTCGATCTTACTGGAGATATGGTTGCAATAATACAAGTTTTGGTTCTACCTCCAAGTGAGTCTTGTAATAATCTTGTCAATTTACTTTCTCTTAATGATAATAAAAATAATAATAAAGTAAAAATCATTATTATTAATTAATTATCTCCACTTAACAATGTTTAATTAATTAATATACTGTACCTATAAGGAATATGTAGAGAATGTTCATTAAGATTATTAATACATCGACCAAGTGTTAACAAGCTTTTGTTAATTACTCCAGCTTCTTTTGCATGTTTGTTTTCAGCACCTGTACGAGCAATACATTCTGATCCTGCTAAATCAACAAAATTAAATTTACCAACTTTCAACAAATCTTCACCATCAGGCATTGTTTCTTTAATATGAACTGTAATTGTAAATACTGAGTGTGAACGGCTATTAATAATAATAATAATAGCATAGCATACATTATTTCAATTAATGCATATACTAATTGTTTATGTAATCTCTAAATTTTTATTTGCTAGATACCTTGATTTATCATTATAATTAGTTGAAGCATTTTGTCTTTTAATAGATCCTTGTTTCAAAACATTGATACCTTCAGCAGCATCTTTTAAAGGCACTTCTTCATGTCCATACAAAACACCTTTATTATTACCATCATCTATAACTTTCAAACTTTGTTGGCTATTATTAGACAAAAGATCTTTCAATTTTTCATTATACAATTCGATATAAGAAACCTTCACTGAATAATCAGCAGATTCTGATTCCAAAGTTTGAAAAAGACTGCAAAGAGAACGTGGGATGACACCAGCATTTGGACTAATAATCACATTGCCACCACTAATACCATATCTAATATTCAAATCTCCCTCCATTGTATACGTTTTACCAGTTGATGTTTGACCATATGCAAACAGAGTACAATTAAACCCATCCAACACCTCATACAATATTGGGTTAACCACAGAATCAAATATTTTTTGTTGATTTGCTTCTTTCCCGAATACTTTGTCGAAAGTATAACTTTTACAAGATGCATCCTCAGTTTTTAATCGTATTTGTACATCACGATGTGTGGTTTTTATGACAACTGGAGATTTGATTTTTTCCTCTCTTTCCAACTTTGCTCTTTTAATTGAAAATTTTTTTTTCGAAGAACAACAAAGCGTTAAGCAATTATGTTTAAAAATTATTGTTTAGTATTTTTATTCTTTGTATAACTCACCTGCACCTAACTACTACTTGAATATTCATTTCTTCAATCTTCCCAACATTATCAAAATTACTTCTCCTTCGTTTTTTTGATCTTTCTGAACCAACGTAATTACTGTTAACAGAAGTTATTTCCATATTATTTTTTAATTTAGTAAAAAAATTGGATTTTGGTAATTCCGATTTAATATTATTTAATTTTTGGATCTATTAGATCTATTAAATATTTGTTTTGTTTATCAGAAAGACACGTCAATTTTATTGTTACACTTGAATCACATGACAATCATCATCGATTTTTTTTCAATACAATACCTTTCAGGAAAGAAGTCTATTCGTTATAATAATAATACAATTGCAAGTACGCACCAATAACAAATCAATTCAGCTTTAAAAATTTTTATCGAAAGCTTGAAAGTACTACGATATTTGAAAGAGAGTACATTAAAGACATTGTTTAGTTACTTTTGTTAGGCATACAGGCAAGAGCAGTATTTGAATACATTTTATCTTTATAAATTGTGGTTAGTTGAATATGTTAATAAAGCAATTAGTAAAGACCTAAATTAGATGAAAACAAATTCTGAATATTATACTATTAGTGCATCAGGATGGCATCTCTGAACTTTCTTTCTAAATATGATGAGAATGGTAAATAAATTATAATAATGATAAGATAGAATATATCAATATTTATATGTATGTTATTATTTCAAAAATCAAAATACATCTTCCATGTACACATATATTATATACTGTATATATATTGACCTTCAATGTTTTATATCTTGATATTTTGATAATAGTGTTCTGTATTTATCTTTAAATTCACATAAATCAATATAACTTCCTTTCAAATGCCTCTCTCCATTTCTCAAGTCAAAACTTGTTCTTCCATGCAGTACACGTCTATTCATGAACATTGCCAAATCACCAGGATTCAGTCTTATTTCGAATTTCATGTCAGGATCTTCAATTATTGAACAAAATCTTTGATACGCTTGATAAAATCTGTTTATCTCATCATCTGACAGTATCAATAAATATTCATTTGGACCTTGAAATGGTGGTGAATAATTTACATGTGAAGTTTGATTATTATAGTTATCATTAACTATCAAAGGACGATTGAAACACATGTGATGTCCATCATTTACATATTGAAAAGTAATTGGTACTTCTACGAGTATTTGATAATCTCTAGGATACTTGTTCTTTAATACTTCTATAGCCTTAAATGAATCTGAAAATATACTTGATCCGCCTTCTGCTGAATTTTTTAAACAGTGTAAAAGTTGTATACCTGGTGGTGATTCATAATATCTTTAAAAAAAAAAATAAATATAATTAACAATATAAGAAATAAAAAAAGATTATTTATTATTATTTCATACAATAAGTCCATATGTAAACCTAATTCCAAATTTGAATAAGCAATATTTTTAGCACCAGGTAATGAAACAACATCCCAAGTTCTTCCATAAAATGTATTTTTTATTGTACCAATTCGTTTCACCACATTCTCTATCGCTAGTTGTTTTTCTCCTTCATTCTGATGAAGAGCAATTGGCACATTGTTTATAAATACCAATCCATACCTCCATAAATGTTCTAGAGTTTTGAGTAAATTTTTATTGGAGGACATGTAATTTGAATAGTCAATTGAAGTAATCTTTTCAGAAAATAATGATTTGTCCCACAAAATATGGTTTACAAATCTGTTATGGCGAGGGAGAAATGGATTACTTGTATTGATTTTTGTGATATCATTTGTAAGTCTGGTTGTGGAATCAATTGAGAGCGAAGAAGAAGATGGCACTACACTAAAAGCTTTTAAAAAGTTTAATGAATAGATGCTTTTATGAGATTTAATTGATGACATGAACAAAGAATCCGATTTTTGTGATCCTTTTGTATTTAATGATAGTAACAATGGTTTATCCCAAGCAACTTCAACTGAATCCTCCATGAAATTAATTGATAATGGTTTGATATCAAGTGGAATATTTGCAGTGGAAAACAACTTTTGTCCGCTGTTAGGGTGAACACATTGAGAACATTGACAATTATCACGTAACCAGATATAATTGTATTTAGAAGTGAAAGAAGTGTCTGGCCAAGTAATAGCGAGTGAATTATTGGATAATGAAGAAGATGATGATAACCCATTTTTGATCAATGTAGAATGTGAGTGTGAAAAAAAATTTTTATTATTAAGGGATTTTGAGAATGATGGTGAAATTGAATTTAAAAGGTTTGAAAACAACAAACAATGATTATTTGTTCTGGTGAAAGAAATATTTTTCATCTTGAAAATTCCAAGATATATATAGCTAGTTACACTAAAAATAAAAATGGATTAAAATTATAGAGCATGATATTTCGAATGGAATGTCTTCATACCCTCGTTTGATACCCTTGCTGTGTAGCAATTGCCACCAAATTTGATATATAACTTCTTTCTGCTTTAAAAAAATTTTTGAAGCAAGTTGTTAATAAAACCGAAAATAATCTCAGCCTTAAAGTCAAATTTTGACTTTGTATTCATATATGGGGCATACTGTAACAAAACCAGACAAAGTGAACATTGGTATTACCAATAATTTCAGGGATCAAAATTGGTGTTAATCCCTCTGTAAATATATGATTATTTGGGGCATACTGCAACAAAACCAAACAAAGTGAACATTAGTATTACTAAGGATTACAGGGTTCAAAATTTAGTCATGGTGGCTTCAATAATGTGATCATGATGATTAAGGGTGTTTTATCTACATCTCATTTTTTAATCAAAATTTAATATAATTAGGTCGAAGGTGCAAATTCAATAAGGATTTAGTTTTTTCTTTTATTGTGATTCATAATTGGTGGATATGGAATAAAAAATTTAAATTTTTGAAAAACAATTTATTTAACAATTTATAAAATTTAGTTTGCAAATTAAAATAATTAAGCAACTTAAATTTAAAATTAAAACACCACTAATTCTCAAATATCTAATAAGAATTTGATTACAGCATTAAATAACATTATTATTCAGGAGTTTTGTTCACGTTTAGAATAGGAATATTCTCAGTTACAAGATTTCTTCGTTTTCCTTTGATGTTCAAAACATGCAATGTTTGTGCTATACTTTCAGTTTCTGATAATTTATTCTATGAAAATTAAGTTAAATTAGTTGATTGATCATATAAATCAATTAAATCAATTGTCATATAGAATAAAAAGTAATAGTGTACCTCCAATTCTTTTAAAGTACAATAAATGTCTTCATATAGCATGCAATCATTTTCATTGCATGGTCAAATGCACTTATCTATTAAACCAAAAAGGTAAATCCCATCACCATACCACGTCATTACATAAAGATTAATTTCAAATCCTGTATTAGGAGAAATATTTCAATTAACCAACAAACCCTGGAAATAAAACCTACATAATGCATTGAAAAAAAAACCTATACCTATCTGCGTCCAACCAAAAACAACCAATTTCTTCCTTTGCTCATCAGATACAAAATTCAATCCTTTTAAAGTTTTATTTAAAGCATCTCTCATTATTACCGAAAGTTTTATCTTGTCAACATATTTCTTCTTCTTGGTTGCTACAGGCAACCCAAATGGTCCTAATCCTAAAGATACTTCACCAAATATTATTTCCATTTTGTTTGGTATGTTTAATAAGAACCCCAGCATATCAACCTTCCTACCAAGTTTGCTTCTTTGGAATGGATTGCTATTTTCATTTCTTTCATCCTGTGTAGCCAAGACTTGGATCTCACCCCTATAAACAACGGGACACAAATGTTTAAAAATTTTTTAAGTAAAAAATAATAAAAATAATGCACTAAGACTACCATTTGTCCTTTATTATATTGGAATGAATTACACTCTCAAAATATCATGTACTGTTTTGCCTTTACATGTAATAAGTAAATGATCAATTTTGTCTAAAATAGCCATTTGTTGAATCATTTCATCCTAAAGATAGCAAAGAGGTTATTATATACTTTGAAACATATAACACTCATATTATTCACTTACATGAAACTTGGCCATCATCCATAATATTCCCTTGTACTTTGAACGTGAATTGAAATCAAATGGCAAATCTGCAGATGCCAGCTTATAAGACAGAAACCTACCATCTTCCAAGATGCTAAGGGCATATAATGTTGATTGATTTTCTAAAATAAATGATAAAAGAAAAAGGTATGTTATTAAAATATAATTTATTGCTTTTGCATAAAGTGAACATGTGACAAATGAACTACCTATAACCTGTGTGCTGAAAATCTTAATCTGTTTTTGCTATATTTCACATCAATATTAAGGTGATTTCTTAAAATAGCCACCAAATTTAGAATATCAGTACACAATGGTTTTTTGGTGTCACCAACAGTGTGAGTTATTATTTGGTTTCCTGGTGGACCTGCTACTTCCTGAATATACCATATATTAATATAAAAAGAAGAAAAGATTAGGGATATTAATTTGGGGGTTTTCTTGCCAGTGTGAATTAGTCATTCAACCTCCGTTTTTTCCTATTCATTATTTTTTTTCCCTTTTAACACTTTGAAGTAATATTATTATTGTCCAAATCATCATTCAAGGTTATTTGCTCACATAAAAGCAATTCTCTATTAAAGAATCTCTCAATTGTATTGTTTAATAATAAAAATTGAGTTCACTGAGTTATTGTGACCAATAATGCCGGAATTGGAATGTTGTCTACAAACAACAGCCAATAAAAAAAGCTGTTACCGCGTTTTTTTATTATTGTTGTTACGCGTTTTTTTATTATTATTGTTACGCATTTTATTATTATTATTGTTACGCGTTTTTTTATTTTATTGTTAATATTACAGAACGTCAAAAATGTCAGAAATATTATTACAATTTGAAATTTGAAGGATTTGAAGATTATTTAGACAAAAATAACCTTACACTCATTTCAATACTTCGATTTCGTAGTATCAAACAAGATTTTACATACAATAAATCTGCTGAACATGCACTCATCTCAAAATTTCTATCATATATTGCACAAATATCTAAAGATGAAAAATGGATTATGGTTGCAAATAAACTCAAAAAAGATGGAATGCTGGTCAGTATAGTTTAAGTTTAATATTGAAAAATGAGGTGATAGCAAAATATATTTTTATTTTAATTTCATTGTCTAAACAACCATCTAAGCGGCCTGGCATGCTCAGGCTAGTTACAGATGCAATCTGATGGGCTTCATCCTAAATCTGCATGAAGGACCAGGGCATGTTCTTGGTACCAAGAGCGCGTTTCTTTTGTAGCCTCCAAGGACCTGCCTTTGCTGTCACTGTTTTGGAGCAAGTTTACTAATCATTTTTGTTATTATCTTTTTGTAAGGATCAAACACAAAATGAGGAGGTTAAAAGATTTTGGTTAGATGTAGAAATTGAAAGAGGTGAATTTCAGATGAAACAAACTGAGGTATGTATAATGGCTATTTATGTCAAATTCCAAGGTTAAGTGCATTATTAATTCTGTTTTTGATAATGGCTTACAGATTCAGTTCATTGTTGATAGATCGATATCAAATAATAAAACACATGATTTAATTGAGGAACAAAATTTAAATTTTATTTCAAATTATGAAATGCAAACATTGAATAGTGGCGAATTTGTTCTGAGAAGATTAATAAAAAGGTCAGCACAGATGTAACCTCAGATAATGTTTCAACTTACAAAAAATCCTTGCTTTTTTAACATTTATATTTTTATACAGATAAAAACGACCAAGACAATTTCTGAAGATACAAATACTTATTCTGAAGAAGATGGAGAGAATGATTTAGAAGTTATTGAACATGTAGGGGAAAATCTTACAGAGGTATTATTGACTTTCTTTTAATGTAGAATGGCTTCTGCAACTTGGAGATTTTAATCATAATATTTAATCTCTTTCTTTATATGCTCACCCTGAATAATCTTCTAGTTTGAAATTAAAATTTCTGGTAAATTAACTACAATTTTAAGAAAAGCTCAAGAAAAAGAAAAAATTCAAAGAAAACACATATGGATTCTTTATTGCTTAATGGGATTATAGAGGTTTCTGATAAAAAGATATATTTTCTAATTCAATCAAAATTTGACAAAGAAGAATTCAATTGGTTAAATGGTGTGCTGAGAAAGCAGGAATGGCAGAATCAAACAAAGGAATTTAAAGAATATATTAATGAAAAATATTGCAAAAGGGCTTGGGTCCCAACCTTGGTGAGGAAAAGTTTTATTGATGGTAGATTTGATCCTTACTATAATGAAGGTTACAATATAGCACAACAAATTATGACACATTGGTAAGTGTTTTCACACATGTGAACCAACCTTTGCATTATTTCTAACTTTGTTAATATTAATAGCTCTGTTAGATTGGAGGCACCAGTCTCAAATGAATCAAATTATGGCAACCTTGAAAGGACCTATTCCATTGACACTATTGTTTATATAATTTCAAGGCTATTTAGAATGCATAGTGATATGTTAGATCTTGGATGGTGAATATCAATTGTGAATTTTAATTCATTTGATTTTTTTGCCACTACTAATTCTCTATTTATTTCACTAGGATTGAATTGACACTAAAAAGCATAAATTTGATGGCATAGTAAAAGTGATTAAAACAAAGAAAAAAACTAATAAAGCAATTGTATTAATTGAATTCTCTAAAGGAAAAAAAGCAACAGAAAAAAAAGGTGATGATCACATGAAATTATGTAGAAATGCAATGAGGATTTTAAACAATTTATTAAAAACAGTATCAAAGGAAATTGCAAGAGTTTATATTATCCAGTCGGTCAGTAAGTAGAAGTCCATGATAGAAAAATACTGTTTGTTTATATATGTATAACTAAATATTTTCTCTATAGATGGATATATTAATATTAAGTATATGAGTAGACCACTTCCTTCAATATATCTTCTTAATCAATTCCTATCCATAAAAATACCAGTTTCTTTTGATGATTTTGAAATTTTCACAACAAATATGGTTGAATTAATGTGTTTTCAGGTAAGAATTGGTAATGAATGTTCATTCATAGATATTCTTTCTTGATACTAATGATGACTTTTATTATTACAACAGAGTGAGGTACTTTCAACTGTCAGAAAAATGAATAAAATAAATAGATATTTAAATGATGCTAGTTATATAAAGGTGAATACAGTTCAATGCTCACCAGAAAAATCCACTAAAGATTATCTAAAAAATAGTCAGGATCCTCAATCACCAACTCCTGCTGATGGATTATCCTATCTTCCTTGTTTTGAATGAATTTTTTTTTCATTTTTAAAAGACAGTGTCTTAACAATTTATTTTATTTTATTTGTTTACAGTTGAAAACAAAAAATTTATTAAATTGAGGAATATGTATATATATACAAAGATTGTAAATAAAGTTTCAAATGATGTTTTAGCTGCATAAAAATCTCAATTTGAATTGACTTTCCTATCAAAGGTCCTGTTTATGATTTCATATTATTACTGATATACTAAATTTGAACCCTGCGTGTCACAATGTTCACTTTGATGGGTTTTGTTACAGTATGTCCCATTTAAAAATAAATGTATTTTAGGAAGTCATTCCAAAATTATTCTTAAATAATAGAATTATATGACTTTTGTAATATTCATATATAGGATTCCATTATCTTACTCCTACTTCTTTCATTATCACAAGATTAATCTTAAAATCTTATCAATTTTAAAAAAAACCTACAAAGTGAACATGTAGTCACATTTTTATTCCCAATTTTTTTTTATATATAATCACTTTCATATTGTAATCACTATCACCAATATTTGGCATCAATACCATTAAATTTTGATCCCTGAAATTACTTCGTGCCACTTAATTTCAATTTATCTATCTTATCTCGTATAATAGAGATTATTCTAAAATCAGGATCTAAATTTTTTCCTTCTCTGAAAAAAAAATAAAAAAATAAAAAACTATTTATTATCAATCAATCAATTAAAAAGAATTATTAAAGATGGTATTAGCTAATGAACTTAATGCTTGGAAAAAACTTCAAAATCATTATGATACAATTGGTAAAGAATTGGTAATGAAAGAATTGTTTGCCAATGATAATAATCGATTCAATACTTTCTCACGTCAATTCAAAGGTAACAACAACAACAACAAAAATGAATCTCCTTCCACCATTTTACTTGATTTTTCAAAAAATCGAATCACCAATGAAACTTTTAAATTGTTGATTGACCTTGCTCGTGAAGCTGATGTTGAGGGGTTTAGAAATAAGATGTTTAATGGTGAACATATCAATTTTACTGAAGATCGGGCTGTTTTGCATATTGCATTAAGAAATGTTTCAAATAACCCCATTAAAGATGATAATGGTGAAAATATTGTCTCAGCTGTTAATGAAGTATTGGAACAAATGAAAAAAACTTCAACTGAGATCCGTGATGGAGTTTGGACAGGTTATACAGGAAAAGCAATAGTAGATGTTGTTAATATTGGAATTGGCGGATCAGATTTAGGACCAGTGATGGTGACTGAAGCATTGAAACCATATGCTAAAGCTGGTTTGAATGTGCATTTTGTATCGAACATTGATGGTACTCATTTGGCAGAAACTTTGAAAAAATTGAACCCGGAAACTACACTTTTTATTATTGCATCAAAAACTTTTACTACACAAGAAACTATCACTAATGCCACATCAGCTAGGAATTGGTTTTTGAATACTGCAAAAGAGGTTGATTATTAATTTGATTTTAATTATTCATTTATTTTTTTTTTATTTAAAAAAAAAGTAATTGTTACATATTAATATATAAAATTTTTGTATATTCAGGATAAATATGTTGCTAAACATTTTGTAGCTTTGTCAACAAATACAAAAGAAGTTACCAAATTTGGAATCAATCCTGCAAATATGTTTAAGTTTTGGGATTGGGTTGGTGGAAGGTATTCTTTATGGTCTGGTGTGTATCATCATAATCATAATCATCATACAAAGTATATCAACAATTAATTGATTAATAAGTTAATTAATATGATTTTTATATTATATATATATAGCAATTGGCCTTTCTATTGCAATTTATATTGGATTTGATAATTTCCATCAACTTTTAACTGGTGCTCATGATATGGATAATCATTTTAAGAACACTCCATTAGAAAACAATTTGCCAGTGATTTTGGGTATCCTTGGTATATGGTATAATAATTTCTTTGGTGCTCAAACTCATGCCATTTTACCATATGATCAATATCTTCACAGATTTCCTGCTTATTTCCAACAGGTAACTAGCAACTCTGATAATAAATCAATCAATATTTTATTAATTAGTAAAACTTTTGTTTAACTAATTACTTATTTTAATTGATAGGGAGATATGGAATCTAATGGAAAATATGTGTCAAGATCAGGAAAAGAAGTAGAATATTCCACAGGCCCAATAATCTGGGGTGAACCAGGTACTAATGGACAACATGCATTCTATCAATTAATCCATCAAGGAACAAAAATAGTTCCAGCAGACTTCCTTGCATCAATTGAAACACACAATCCAATATCCAATGGCCTACATCATGAAATTTTATTATCAAATTTTTTTGCACAGACAGAAGCTTTAATGATTGGTAAAAGCAAAGAACAAGTCTTGACAGAGCTTGGTGAAGGTTTCAAAAATAAAGATTTGATTGCACCTCATAAAGTTTTTATTGGTAATCGGCCAACAAATTCTATAATTTTTCAAAAATTGACTCCTGCTACTCTAGGTGCTCTTATTGCATTATATGAACACAAGATTTTTGTACAAGGAATCATTTGGAATATCAATTCTTTTGATCAGTGGGGTGTTGAACTTGGTAAAGTGCTTGCTAAAAAGATATTACCTGAATTAGGAAAAGACAACAAGTCAGTTGTTTCTTCTCATGATTCAAGCACTAATGGATTAATCAATTATTACAAAAATAATAGAAAATTTTAAAGCATTAAATTTTTTTAATTGCTTACTATTATTAAAAATAACATTCATAATTTAAAACAATAAAAAAAAATTATTATTGTTGGGACCTTCAAAATCCTTTTAATTTAGCTTCAAATTGCACCACTTTATAATATAGATAATTAAAATTATGGGTTGAAAACTATGTAATATATATAATTCTACTAACTTTTTTTAAATGTAAAGTTTCTTTTGGTTTAATTTCATTTTCTGACCCACACCACAATCTATTATAATTAATTTTAAGGGTTACTTGAAAAACAAATCAATGAATTTTTCCTTAACCTATAGAAATAATCATGCCTGTACAATTGTATAACATTTTAGGCGCATTATCACCTGCTCTTGGTGTGGTAGAACTTAAAGGGCCGGATAGTAATGGTGGGCCTTGTGGATTTTGGTTACTCATTTTTTTGTTTCAAGATCCAAAAAATATATAAAACTTTATCACATGATAAGCCGAACCTTGATTCCAAATAGTTTAAATTGGACTTATTTTTTCATATATGCAAACAATTGTATTTTTTTTAAATTTTTATTATTTATAACATTTATGGTGATACTTATTCAGAGTGAAAAAATGAATTTTTATTATATGGGCATGTTGCAACAAGTGAACATTGGTATTACCAGAATCACAGGGATCGGTACACAGCAGTGTTGGCAATGACAGTTATTTAACTTTTGAACTGTCAGTTAAATAACTGGTTCAAAAGTTAAATAACCAGTTCAAAAAATCATTTGAACTTGTGAACTTTGGTTCAATGACATAAATTGATTGATTTATGTGCACAGAGCACATTTTCTAACCAATTTTAGAAATTATCTGTAAATAATTAACAAATTGGGTTAGATAATATGCACCATCACCTATATCTTTTTATTGTAAAATATGATTTCCTCTAAGCTGTTCCTGTGTACAGAATTGATAAAATTTTAAACCCAGGTGTAAATAAACATTGTTCTTTCCTAAAATCAAAGTTATTAACTCTGGATCCAGAAAAAAGTACATATAATAATAACATTTGATACTGTTTTCCATATTTGTAATGAACTCTATCAAATAACTTGCATATTGGTTAAATAACTGCTCAGCAAAGTTCAAATGATCAGCATGTTATTTAACTAATTAACTGGTTATTTAACTAATTAACAATTCAAAAGTTCAAATAGTTCAAAAAAAGGTTTGAACCAGTTAAATTGCCAACACTTATATATATATAATATATATAATATATAAATATTAAAAATTTTAAAATTTAATACACGTATCTTAAATAATTTAAACATGATAAAAATTATACCTAAATTATCAAATAACACATCTAATCATTTCAACTTGCTTGTTGAACCACTATTGCAGTCAACTTCTAGAAGAGGTTCCCCATCCTCCAGATTTCCTCCAAAAATACATAACAAAGATATAAACTATGTGGTAGACTGATTTGAATTGAACAATTTCAAACTCCTGATCTTATTTGGAAACCCTGACCTGGAATCTTTGATGTTTCCCCCAATAGAAAGGGACACTATGAGTACATTAAAAATATCACCTTCAATAGATAACTAGATCCTGTTTGTGTTGGTATTAGTCACATTGATGCTTGAGAAAAGAAAAAATTTTCAAAATTAGAACCAGATACTGGCCATCAAAAATGTAACTGTGAGAAACATCCATCAAAAATCACAACCTTGCCTTCGAATTTCCTTTTTAAAAAAGTAACAAATGTGTAAAGGCTTCCTCAGATCTTTTACACCTTGATGATGGCCAAAGACAAACAGACCCACTTGCATAAAATGGCAACACCATGCCAAGCAATCACCCATTGCACATCTACCTGCACTACTAAAATATGCCAGAACAAGTTGTGGAAGGGCCCTGGGATGGTGAATTAGGAGTGGGAGTATTTCTTCAAACATGATAGACAAACACTTCAGCAGACCAGAACTTGAACTCTTTGAAAGCCTCGCCTACCATGACTACAGTGCAGAAGGCCTATAATGGGAACTTAGAAAAATTGAAATATCATGTGATCCACACATCAGATTTTTTAAAAAATACCACCATTGAACTCAGCTTTAAAAAAGGAATCGATTTATGGAATAAATTTTTTTTCTCAATTTTCAATTTGTAGATCTTTCTTAATTTAGTAATTTTATTTACAACAATTTATTTAAATTACATTGTTAATTTCATCATAAACCATATCAGGAACTTGTCTATGGGATTTATATTTTTTATTTGCAAATTCAGCTACTTTTCCTGTTAGACCTTTTCTGTAAATGTCCATATAA